AGCCTGACGGCTGTCTTATAGCAACCAACTGTTCTCATCATGAGAACTTCCATCATGCCATGATAGTACGGGACTCCTTCACGCACAATATCGTTGGTATGTGTGACAGGCCTTTCCACGCGCCTTGGAGGAAAAAAACGCACTCTGCGTACGATGTAACATCTTGTTGCACCCGGGCGTAACATATTGCTGCAAAACACTGAAATCCTGAGTGCGCTAGTTTACACATGCATTAGAAATACCCAAACAACGCCTGGCTGTGACTCAGTGAAATCAATATCGGTCGGTAACCTTTTCATTCACCTTCATCCTAAAACTTATCCACAGCGACAGTTCAGGCGTACAGACTTAGCTCAGACGCTTTTTTCGAGACACCCCGTACATATATAGCATTCTTTTCATTGCTCATGCAGTCATAAAAACAGCAGCTACTGTTAACTATCTTTATCTCTCAGCCAGCTCAAATGGTCCAAGTTTCAGGAAACATGCCAACTCAATTCATGCGCTGCTTGATCAAACATTATTTAAAGGAATACATTATAAAACGATTTACTGACTATGTCATATCTGAGTCGATTTCGACATTACCAGCAATCAGGCACAACTCCGCAGCCACGTGCCACCAAGCTTAACCCAAATACAAACGACATAATGCCACAGTCATTTGACCCTGGCTATACCCGAAGCCCGGGCCGCCAGCTGAAACTGCTCCTGAGTGCGGCCGGAGGTCTCTGCAGCCCCGAATGAAGACAATACCGTTGTCGGTTGGAGGGGCCGCGCAGGCCCCTCCTCATCCTTGTCTGTCGCTGCTGACGGTCCACAAAGGCATGGCCAGTGTCCCCGGAGGTCTGTAGCCCCGTCATGAGACGGTGGGCAGAGATCGCGTTCGATAGCCTGCCAGCGTCACGGGGCGTCGGCCGGCCGCACATGCCCAGCATGTAGAGACGAAAGGCGGGTGCAGTATCGTGGCATGTAGTCCGATTGCAACGATGACGCGAGGTTTTTTAACACGCGCCCGGGTGGCCGGCTGGATACCCTTCGCTCAGGTGGAGGTGGGGGGGGGGGGGGATAATTTGACCCCCTGAGATCTCGGGAACTAAGAAAGCTAGAGACACCAAATTTACAGGGCGTATTGTCCTGTACATGGACACACTTAGGTCAAAGTTTCAGGTTCCTAGGTCACGACCTTTGGGTCAATTAAGGTCAAACAAGGTCAAGTTCCAGGTTGGTCTCCTAAGTGCCCCCAGAAACCTAGGTAACCGTTTCTAAGCAAAAGGTTACAGTCTCATTCATGGTCAGTTACCTTATTTGACCTTTTGAAGGTCGAGGTGACCAAAATCATCCAAGACTGCTTTGAGTTTTGCATTTGACTAAGCGACAAAGATTACGCTAGGCAGTATGTTCCTAAACTGAATCATTTTAGGTCAGTGACCTATTCTGACCTCTAAGAAGTTCATTGAAGATGTATAATGCGGTTCCTGCTATCAATTAACTCGAAATGAGCACCAGAAGCTATCCCATACAGCAAGCCCAAGACTAACAAAACAGGTTGGTTTTGACCTTGTGTGACCTTCATACCTGACCTTAGGTCGATGTAATTTGATCATTCAACTGTTGTGTTGCATAAGAAAGCATCTCAGGGATGTATGGTTTCGTTTAACAATCCGTTGTTGGATCAGACCGAAGGATTCCCTAGAAACTGCCTTCGCTGAAACCATGGTCTGACTTTGACCTGCCATAAGTCAGCGACCTCACAAGATGCATCTAAATTTGTGATGCCAAACGATCCGCCATTTTCTACAGCTATGAAAAACTTGGCGCGGCTACGCCGCGCCGTTCGGAAATCATTCTGGAAAAGACCTTCGGGGGTCAATTTGACCCCCCCCCCACCGGTGCGCGTGTTAAAGCGCGTTTATAGCATTTTGCACTATGAGTTGCTGCACATCTTTCAATAGCAGCAAAACTGACACTACACTGTTTTAGGTAAAGCGGTTGAAACTTTGCATTACCATGCGAACGCAAATGCCTTCCACTAAAACACCTATATGCAATCTACCAATTACCACGGAATTTTCATTCTGCAGCATCTGGATGCCATACCGGAATTCCCTCTTCCCCCCAAAAATGGTGAGAAGACCGCACCACCGCTCTGTTAGGTGGAGAGGGAGGGAAAGGGGCCAGCATTCCTAGCCTAGGAACACACATCAACACTTCCCTACGCGTCCGCACAACCATGAGGGGCACATCTGCCCGGTTCCTCGCCAGTGTTCCCCGGGTCTGTCGGCGTTTGCCGCGTTTCCAGAGCACGCATCAGATACGTGCCCACTGAGTACAGCCCTCAGGATTTGCTCGGAGACGGTGCACAACAGGGGAGCGAGTTCGAGACGAACCCCGTGAACTTTTGAACTTTGGACGTGACTGTGAGGGTGACCTCTGCTCGGGATTGCGCTCGCCGAGAACGATGAGATGAGAACGCTGAGAGAACGATGAAGAGACGTACCTCATGACCTATGCCCTTTCCTCCGGGCTGCCTACACCAAGAGAGCTAAGGAAGACAGATCATGTGACTTTCGTTCGGTGTTGCACACAGTGCGGAGGGAAGCCCTTTGGCGGCAGGACATCACTTGTTGACGGCCTTCAAGACGTCGGTCGCACCAGCCGCGCCAGACTCGCGCCACACGACAGCAAACCGGACGGAAAATATACGGCGCCCTGAGGGGGTGACGGGCCGTTCTCCGAAGATGCAGGCACCAGCAGGGAAACCTGCCGCCAGATGGCATGCGTGAAGGCCTGAATAACCACGACTTATGTGCAGAAGTGACGAGGAAGCAGTGAATCAGCGGTAGAATCTCGTATGCCGCCTTATCAAAACATCGTCCGGGCAGGACAAATAAAAGGAAATTAAAACCTGCTACGTGACATTTGCTAGGAGCTGTAACTTTCAAGATCACGCCATCAAAGTCCAGGTGCACGCCTCCTGACCTATGTTCATGGTCACGGTACGGGGCGTGCCACGACGCTGCTATTTCAGTGCCACTCATAGTAGCCTTAGCAACGACACTTCGTTAGATTGACGTCCAGGACGGGAATGACTTTTGGGAGTTGGCGGGACGAGGAGCGGGGGAGAGGGTAGCATGGTTGGATAAGATTACCACACGATCGAGGCGCTCTTAGGGAAGCGTCATGGCTCCCATATTAACTACGGTATTTAAATGAGGTACATGGATGTCGCCATCTAACTCTCATCGCGTGATCGCCATGAATATTCCTTTCGAGCGCGCCCCGCCCGGGCCGCGGCGAGTCGATGGCGGAAACCCACGGCAAGCCAGAGGGAGGCGCCCGTCCCACGCCCAGCCCATAGAGGACCGACTCGGCAAGGCCGGTGTCGGAGGCGGCGCCACCTCACGTGAGCTGGTGACCCTTGGTGCCCCGAAAGTGAGGGGTCGCTGAGGGCATCGATCACCGTCGCACGGGACATTGACCAGCGGCGTCCGAAGCGACAAACGACTCGTCGCCGCGCAGTGACGGTGTTGAGGCTCACTTTAAGAGCCCGGCGACGACGGTCAACGTGCCGAAGCCAGAGCCCTTCAGTGTGGTTGTCTTTGAGCGGTCGGTACCTATATACCTGGTGCCAACCTCAGCATGGGTCTGTCTATGCTATGATCAGGCTGAGCGAAGGGAATTATGTTGGCCAGCAACCGGGGCCACTTGTAGGCGCGCTTCCACGGGTGCGATTTCCGCGTAACGCCCGTGAATGCCGTCACGTGCGCTGAGCCCGTAGACTTGAGCTTCGTTTTATGTCGCCACCAGTGAGGCGGCCACTGTTTCGCGGCAGGGACCCGGACGAGACGGCGGCGACCGCCCTCGTCCCCGCCGCGATCGATTGGACGAAGCGAATCGGGGATCCACGCCGCTGTCTGGCGACGAGCACCGCACAAATCGACGTGGCCATTTCCCCGATGAAGGAAACAGAAAGTGACACCGCCCTGTGTCCAGACACACCGCGCGGCAGTGCTTGGCGTGTCCGCGCGGTTGTCCGCGGAGTAGGAGAATGCCAGCGTATCGAAAGGTCCGTCAGAAAACCGCGTAAACACCACTGCAGGAGGAAGGAGGGATGCTGACGCCGGCGCTGTGGCTGCAGGCGCGAGGGGTCTGGGGCTACCGCTGTCTGCCTACGTCGTATGTGAGGGTAATTCACTTATGGCACGATTCTTCATGACACATATCGTGCATTTGATATGGTAATGACGTCGCGTGCAAGAATACTGGAACGGAGGAGGGAGGGAGGAGAGGGGGAGTACAGAGGCAACGCCCCATAGCTTGGGGCTGCTGAACATCACCCGTATGACAGTAAACGGCAAGACAGATATCCAACAATTTCTAAAAGGCACTCTTGTGGCCCGACTTTTTGAGGTTTTCGCACTCGTAAGCACATGCTTCATGTAAGTCAGCTTCTACATCGTAGCAGCGCACCACCATTAAAACAAAGTGCAACAGGCATTGCATGGACATCACACCCTACCGCTGTGATCTATAATGCACTTGGACACGAGGTATCTGAATTGACGCCGTACCTGATAACAATATGCGATAACCTGGGATGCGAGGAGTACGAGGAATAATCTGAGTTTTGAAGGAACACAATATTCTTGTCCCACGCAAAAAGCCTCTTACTGAATATGCACAAGCTTCGAAATGAGTCGAATAAGGTGCTCATCACGCCGCGACAAGCGCAAACCAGTGATGTCTATTCCACGCAAGACGCTAGGACAGTGTCCGATTTTCCAGTCTACGTTCATTCTGGTCGCGAGCTTCGTGTGCGTGCACAATCCTTCCGACTCCAGCCAAGCTGGCACGACGTGCTGCAACGTCGGCACCCCCAGCCCAAGGCGCCGCACCAGCCCCGCAGCTCGGGGAGGTCCATGCCGGCTGGGCCCCATCGTACCGGCGTCGACCCGAGGACGGGGCCGGCGGCGGGCTCAGGCGACCGTGCCTCTCACCGTGCTCGCTGTCGTGGGCCTCGGCGTCGGCCAGGCCGCGGCCCGGGCACCGGCTCTTCACCATGGCGGGGCGTCGCTCTGCCGACTCCGGCTGCAACCACCTGTTAATAGCCGGACCGCATCTGACCGTGCAACAATTGGTCGGGCGGCCTGTCTGCGACGAGCGCGGCCGGTGCGCCGTCCGCCGCGCGCCGGCTGCTGTCCAAGTCACCGGTCACTCGCCACACGCACTCGCGCCAGCCGCCAGTACAGACGGGGAGAGGTGAGTATTTACATGGGGAGC